AAGTTTGGGATTTGGAAGTCGGCAAAAATTAAAAAGTAAACATCTTTAAGTCACAGGGATCCATCCAGGGAATTCAAGGCCCAACAGGGAAAACTTGCAGAGATCCAAGTAGGCTCATGCAGAAAACGCTTCCAGCAGAAAAGGAGTTAGTTTGGAATTCTGGTTCTGTCAAGTTTCAAGCTGTGTGATCCTGGGAAGAAAACTAGTGAACCTCTCATGGACTCAGTTTCCTCATCTGTAAGATGAGAAAAACAACATCTGTATATGGTAAAGATAAAATGAAGGAAACTATTCATTGCAACTAGTGCACAGTAGAGAAATATATGGTTATATACTGGTTATATGTATACATCTCCTTGAGCCTCAGTTTCCTCATCTGTCAATTGTACAGGGTCACTATGAGGCTGAAAGTTTGAAAAGTATGTAAATGTATAAGAGTAATAGGCAACAATAGCTTTTTAAATTAATTTTTATTTCTACAGACACTGTAACTAATCAGGAAAGAAAATAATCCTTGAATACAGATAATTAATATTTCCCAAAGAAGGTTGTTAACATTTACCTGATAAATAATAATTTTTTTCTTGGAACACTTAAGTCTCTTATTGGTCTGAGAGCAAAGGGCTGGCCTGGATAATCTCTTGAGGACTGGATAATCTCTTGAGGACATATGTGTCCTCAGGAGTGTATGATTCTGTCCCAGTCTTACAAAATGAACACCACAAGAAAAGAGAATTGGTCAGGGTTATTAAAGAAGTTTCAAGAGAACAGAGTGTACTGTGCTGCATCATAATTATCATGACGACTCAGAGTCAGCCACTGTTCATTTTACTAAAGATTTTCTGCTGAAGATATATATCACAGCGATTTTCACAGGAAATCAATGCAGGCTTATAAAAGTTCAAATAGCACAAAAAGGTATCACACAGCTACTACCACCATACACAGATACACAGACACAGACACACATACACACAAACACACAGAGTCTCCCAAGTCACACTTCTCTTAAACATCCCTGGCCAGCAGATTAGAATTATTTCACTCTTTTCTTATGCATGTGCAAATACACATATATTGTATACATGTATTATTGTGTTCATGTGCATATGCATACATACATGGAGACATAAGCATATATGCATACATGCATATACAGATGTACACCTTGTATTTCAGAGAATCTTTACCATATACAGTCATGTGATAGAATGTGAATGGTTCCGCCTGGAATTGTACAGCTTTGTGTACAACAGTAACCATACACACGCACACACACAGACATATGTAAATGTACTTACTAGCATCTCCCTTTTTAAAAATCACACATGAAAATACTAAATACAGTAGACTACTTGATAAATTATCTTTCTCAATTAATGGCATGTCTTAAGTATCTTTCATATAAGTGTATACAAATCTGCTTGATTACTTTTATTTGCTGTATAGTGTTCAATTGTTCAGACATATCAAAATGTATTTAGCCAGAATTTGTCTTTGATAGAAATTAGTGTCACTTCAAGTTTTTGCTACTACTAGTAGTGCTTTAAAAATATATTTCTTTTAATTATGCATATATATGTTTGCAAAGAATTTAAAGTGCATATATATTCTGTATGTATGTAGATAGCTTTTTGTACTTCATATGTATTTCATGAATACCTGTAGGTCTCCAGCTTCATTTTTAATGTATATTTGAAGGTATTGGTTATAGGGAATTAATTTTTTAACAAATGCTCTACTATTTATCATTTATGCTATTCCTGATTTTTCACTATCATGAGCAATGCAGTGTTGAATACCTTTCTATTTAAATCTTTGTGTATTTATCAAATTTGTTTTATTTTCTTGGAATCCATTCCTAGAGGTAAAGTTGTCGGATGAAAGGGTATACATGTTTTTAAAAATATTTCATTTAAAAGGAATATAATTTCATCATGTAGATTCATTGAACAAAGTTCCTCAATACACTAGCTTTGAAAGAAACATTTATATTGCATAGGTTGCTGGCTTCCAAACCTAGTGCAGTAGGCAGAATGATAGCCCCATGTTCACATCCTCAACCCCAAATCTGTAATTATGATATGTCACATGTCAAAGGACAGCTAAGAGCTCAGATGGAATTAAGATTGGTAATTGACTGACTTTAAAACAGGTGGGGGTTTCGGAGGTCCAGTATAATCACAAGAATTCTTAAAAATGGAAGATGAAAGCAAAAGAAGAAAGTCAGAGGGAGATGAGACTAAGAAGGAATGATTAAAGGATTGCAGTATTGCTGGCTTCGTGGACAGAGACAGGGAGCCGCGAGACAAGGCAAGTCGGCAGTCTCTAGGAGCTGGAAAGAGTAAAGAAACAGTCTTCCCCAGGGCTCCCAGAAGGAATGCAGCTTGTAGACCCCTCGATTTTAGCCTGATGAGACCTAGATAGGAGCACTTCTCATGCCCTGTGTTATCAGATGACCCTTTGTGTTGTTTTAAATCAGTAAGTTTGTGGTGGTCTGTTTTTAGCAACATTAGGAAACTGGTCTACCTGGTTACCATGAGACCAACTCAACCAGAGTGTTGTGTGTGTGTTGGGAGGCAGTTCTTGTCCTCAGAGACCCAGACTGAGTAGTCTGAGGGGTAGTCTGAAGAGCTGAGGGGTGCTTATTTTCAACAAGCCCCATTCAGTGAGGATTTGAGGAAGCCTGATGTAGTTCTGTGAAAGTAGTCATTTCAGGTTACGTACACAGTCGCTTGCTGGCTGGGAGGATGGTCTCTAGAAAAGGATTAATTCTGTCTTTTAGAGTATCTGGCAGCACCATTCCATGGTTGCCAAGTTCCCTGGTCCTTAGTTCCCCAAACCACTTCTTTCTTCTGCAAGATCCAGTAAAGTCACTGCTGATGGGTCTCAGAGCTAGAATTAACCATAGGGATCATCACATTTGACACACACAGAAACTTAGACCTAAGGAGGTAGTGGTGCTGGGAGTGGGAGAGTCTGACTCCAGATGACACAGGTAGCTAAAGGCAGAACCAGGGCCAGACCCAGGTGACCTAACTCCTGGTGCAGGTTTTCGGGAGTATTAAGAAAGGGTTCTCACTTGTGTAGAGAAGTAGAAGGTCAGAGTTTTCAGCTAAAAAAAAATCACTATAACTGCTGAAAACAGGCTAACTTGATCCTAACCATGTAAAATTATTAGAAGGAAGAATATAATAACTGAATTTATCTTTTGGAAGGTATTTGAGACTTCATTTATACAGTTACAAAGCAATAGGGATAACATGGCAATCCTTGTAAAATGCTATATCCAAGTTTATTTCTATAATCATCACTAAGCTACAAAAATTTCAAGTAACATGCTATTTTAAAATCTTACCCAATAAGAGAATTGAAATAGACCACTGCAATATTACTTTGCATTTGGAAAATACAAATGGCTTACAAAATTATTTTTAATTATGTTAAGCTGGGAAATAGAAAAAGGTCACCATTTATTGTTTACATGGGAAAATAACATTTTAATTAGCATTCTTTGTGGAAAATGGATTTCATTTCTAAGTCATGATATTGATTTTTAGAATGAACAGAAGAGCACTTAAACACAAGTCTGAATTGCATCTGCAAATGCTATTTAAATTTTTTAAAAGATAGTCTTTGTTGTTTAACAAAGGGAATTGTTATCTTTTGTTTTTTCAGAGATGGGCATCATTCAATTATGTGAGAGTTTCCAGCCCAACTGAAGCAGTTTCATTTCTTCCAGATTTCAAAAGTTCAAGAAGAGGTACTTTTGGAAGTAGAGAGTGAAGACCAAGGCAGCTGAGGAGGCAGAGCATTGCTAATTTCTCAAAACTGTAGAGAAAGACGTGAATGGTTTACTGGCTCTTGCTCTGTCAGAGCTTGACTTCCCACAGTTTCAAGACCTTGATCAACCTGGTGGAGAAAGCGTCTCCCTTACCTTTCAGTCAACTAGCATCTGACAAGGTCATCAACCGGAGTATAGATCAGGCTATACGCAGACAGCACAAAGGGGCCAAGGAACCCAAGGAGCTTTTGTGTCAAGGGTGGTGCATATTTTGGGAGGCATGAGTAGGCTGGAGATTTCTTTTTATTTTAAGAGTGCAATGACAAAAAAGTCAAAGACATCCTCTTCAACTCAGATCTTTGGAAATACAAAATGGAAAACAAGATGGATATAGAAAGCCAGCAGTAAACTGGGATCTATCTTCCTGTACATGTCAGAGGAGTGTGGATCTATTAATGATCAGAGTTCTTCTATTCCTCTTTATTAAAGTAGTAACACTGATTACAGCTTTCAGCTTCATTCAAGCAAGAGTTTCTAAGGATGTGTAAGTAAATATTGTCAGATCATCCAGACTACTTAAGATGCCTGCTCTGTTGAAATCATTTCTTCTTTTCCCTAAACAGCATATTAAATTTCAGTTCTGGTGATACAAGTTATCTTCTAACACAGATGAATCTTTCTGGAATAAGCCAAGAAAAACACACACAGTATAATTATAAACCGTGAATGCTAGAATCGGCTTTCCAGTCATCACCTAAAAAAGAGCCAGGCTTTGAAGGTCTATGTGAATTTAAGGGAAAATCTGTTGGCTAGCTCTTCTTTCCTCTTGCTAAATAAATCTAGGAAATATATGCAACACACTGGCAGAGCTGTTCTTGGGATATGAGAATTGCTATATTACTGTCCAGAACACCCATCTCCTCACGCAAGATTTGTGTTTTTATTCACATAGCACATGAGAGGGAAAAGTATCTAAAAGGCATCCTGATATTAACCCTTGGTTAGTGTTGCAAAGAGAGTGTGGCATTGAGTGGAGGCCTAGGTTTCAGTGTTGGCTCTGTTATTATGTGACTTGGGGAAGGTCATATACCTTCTCTGAACCTCCATATTCATATATATTAAGTGGACACAATAATACAAAATGCAGGGTAGTTGGAAAGCTTGAATGAGATGGTAGATGTGAAAAAAATTACAACCCAGTAGAGTACCATCCGAGATAATGCAGCTTTATTATGATTCACTTTCTGAGCTATCATGCAAGAGCAAGTGGGGTATAAATGTGGCAGACTGATAGCAGGGGCTTCCAGGATTGTTGCAGGGCAACTACCCAGCTCACACTAAATACAAGGCTGTCTACCAGACTGGGGAGGTGAGTGAGCTTGAGGAATCATCATTTGATCTGGAGCAACCTTCATTGAGGTCTCACTGCCGTATCTTGGGCCAACCCTCGCCTTGTTCCTCCAGCTTGACTGAAAATGCGGCGGGTATCCACTTGGGTGGCTCCAAGGGTTCAGTGCTGAAAAGAAAGTATTTCTCAGATGTCACTAATGCTGAATGAACTGAAGGAGAAGTTATATTGTTTATGAAACCCAGGTGGGCCTCTTTGGGAAGACATCATAGTCCACCAGGCTCCAAAAGAACACCTCTAGATGTCAGGCACCAGAATCCCCACCACCAGAGCGAAGATGGAAACGCATGGAACTGCATTCAGGGAATGATCTTGATTCAGAATAAGTTCTGCTCCAGCAATAAGCTCAACTTGACATGGGCAGTTTGCTCAGTTTCTAATAAGTTGCCAAATTTCTCATCTTTTTTTTTAGAATTGATGAACAAAATTTTCCAAGTGAACATATTTCATTCATCAGGTTCAGACTGATAGTTTACAGTTTCTTTCTGGATTTGGGATATGTAGGGAGACTGCAGCCTTAACTAACCCATTCTTGGTAGGTCTTTCTTACTCCATCTTCATTTTGATTTTGGTAGAGGCAGGAGAGAATGTGGCCATAGCCTAATTAAGACTGGAAAGTTTCAGAATTGTTGCTGATACCTCAATAGAAATGGAAAAATGGGACAGCCCCATAAAAGCCCACATGGTCAGTCTTACCTCACAGGACGCTGCCAGGCAGTGTTAGGGGCCTATGATTTTTCAGAAAGAGGGCAGCATGTTTAGTGATTGAGTGGCATGTGTGGTTCCACTCCAGAAGAGCTCTTTTAAACATTGTATATACTGGGAATTCACTTAACACATTTGAAAAATCTTGGCATTCAGGGAATAGGACATTGTTGCCAAAGAAAAGAAATGCACAATTTTAGGGAGAGCATAAACTTGTTTCTAATTCAGTGTTCTTTAGTGGCAGAAATGGAAACTAGAGAAGAGATCCTTGGATTCACAGTAAAAAAAATATGTTCAGCTTTAGAAAAAAGAATTCTCTTTATCACCCAAGGTTACTAAAAGAACTTTCTTTCTCTTCTCTCTAGAGAGTGGTTTTCTGTAAATCAAAATAAGCATGATGATGCAGAAGCCTGTTGTGGAGTCAAATCAGCCCAAGTTTGAGTCTAGAGTTCTCCACTTCCTAGCTGTGGGACCTTTGGCCACTTACCTAGTCTGTCTGATTCTTCCTACTAATTATATGCTTACTTCGTAACAACTGCTTGCTAAGATTCTGGTGAGGATTGAGTTAAATGCATATAAAGCCCCTAGAAAAGTGGCTGGTGCATATCTGTTCAATAAATATTCAATATTATTTTGTTTAAAAAGCCAATGTCTCTATATGTGGTAGAGTTGAATTATTGTATTGTTGAGCTGCACCTTAACTTAGTGAGCAAGACCAAGGAAATTGAAGTACCTCTGACACTTACTTTAACTTTGGGTAGATTACTTAACTTCCCTAAGACCTCAATTTTTTCATCTACCCATGAGGATAAGTACAGAATCTTCACTGTAGGTAGCTACTAGGTTTTTGTTGCTTTTTTTCTGTGTCTGCAGTGCTGGGGGGGTGGGTGTCTCGTGCATGGTAGGCACACCTCGGCCCACTGTTACCTGTTATTTTGCTTCGTTTTTATGATCTTCATCTCTAATGAGTTTGTACTTTACCTCAACCAACCATTCCTGTGGTCACACCTTTGAATTTGTCACCAGCCACCAAGATACAACCCTTATAATCGCAATTTCAAACATCCACTCTCCCATTCCATTGGCTTAAGCAGTCTTATCCCTGCATTTTTATGCAACGTGCAAGCCATTGACCTCCTAGCCTGGTAACATCCATCTGCATCCGGTTCCTTCTTTACACAACTTGGACACCGTGGTCCTTGGTTCAAATACCCTCTGTTCCTTGTCCTCATTCTTTATGTGTCATGACTCCTTGCCACAACCTCATCCCTGGATGAGGTACCCATTGTCTTCTTCACAGATTATATGAGCCTTAATGTTACTGGTGAAAATCCCACAGCACTGTTGGCTGTCCTCACTTGAAACACACGGTCACAGATGCCAGACAAGCATTCAGAAATTCTGCTTCTATTTTTCTACTATCAGGTTTGCTGTCCCAATGCCATCAAAGACGTTTTCATACTTTCCCACTCTCTCAAAATATTCCACTTGCCCACTCTCAGTTGATGAGCCTGTCTCTACAGTTGAGAAAATAGAAATTACTAGATTACAGCACTGTAGTTGCTACACAAGCAAGCCTTTGTCATTATCTTCTTACTTGTATACTTTCAGTGGCAGAGTAGTTCCCCTTCCCATGAGTTGTCAGTGCCTCTTCATGTCCCTTCTTTCTTTCCAACAGCTTCACCCATGAAGTTTCCCCGTCCTCCTGCACTATCAGTCTCTCTGTCTTTATTGGAATGTTCTCACTATCATTCAAATTTGTAATATTTGCACTTTTTTTTATCGGGACCGGGGATCGAACTCATGACCACGCGCTTGCAAGGCAGGTGCTTATGCTGCTGAGCTAAATCCCCAGCCCTGTGATATTTGCATTTTTTGAAACAAAGCTTTCTCAGTCTTCTTAGCTATCACCTCACTTTTCTTCATGAATGTTAAAGTTCTTTAAGAATCTGCTGGAAATTACTGTCTCCATTTTCTCATCTCCTATTCACTCTAGAATGCAGTCCAATCTGGCTATCTGTGTCACATAATGAAATCTGCTCCTAACAAGGTTGTCAAACATCATTGATGTCACATCCAGTAGAAATTTCTCTATTATTTGCTCTCCAAGTTTGTTTGGTTTGTCTTACGTAAAGGCATTAAGCAGAATAATCTTTATTATATTGGCACATATTTTCTTACTATTTCTTTTTTAAATATTCTTATATTTTCCCAGCATGCATTCGTTCAATAAATATGTAGAAACCTCTATGCTATGTATTGTTGCAGGTATTAGAGATGTGAAAACCCATCCCTCAAGCCTCAGCCCTCGTGGAACTGACATTTAGGTAGCGGATCTATAAGACACCCTCATCCCCTCTTCACACTAGACCGTAAAATGCCTGAGATCAGGGACTACAGCTTAACTATGTGCCAGGCTTTATTCTAAGTATCTGCATACCTTTGAAGGTATGCCCAGAGATATCCTTTGAAGTGGTTAGTACTTTGTTCTTATTCTACAAAAGACAAATGAGGTATAGAGAGGTTAAGAAATGTGACCAAGGTCCTGAGGTCAGTAAGTAACAAAGCTGGGATTTGAACTTTGAATTTAAGCCATGAAGGTCCTCTTTCCATTCTACTCAGACTGTGTTCATTTTAAAGCTTCTACTACAACCTCTTTCAAACTGAGTGTAAAATCCAAAATTTTGGGTTGCAGTCACATTTTCCCTGACCTGCAGATTCCTGTGGTGGCCTTATGCACTAGGCTGAAAACTGAACACCTTGGATAGAACAAGCCAGTCTTCTCAGATCTGTTCATCTTTCTGAGTCATCTTAGTTACCTCAGTAAATACATTGGACTTCGATTTAAAAATACAGTAGAATTGCTTCTCTAGCAAAATGAGAAAAAAGCTCTAGAAGTTTTATAAAACATGGATTGTATGGGCTCTCTGAAAAACCAATTCCATCCATGAAAATACAAAATAATAGAATAAAATATCCTGCTAGCTGCTAGAGACCTCCATTTGTACACTACAAACTCCACAAGTTTCTTCTTTGGATACAGAACCACCATGTCAAAGGCTAAATCAGATATCTAGCCAGGCATGGTGGTGCATGCCTGTAATTCCAGCACTCAGGACGCTGAAGCAGGAGGATCACCATGAGTTTGAGGCCAGCCTGGCCTACATAGTGAATTTAAGGACAGCCTGAACCACATAGCGTGAGCCTGTCTCAAACCAACCACCAACAAACAAACACACAAACAAAGCCAGATACCTACTTTCATTTGCAAGGCTAGGACTCACAGGTCCATGACTCGGGGGGACATACAGCTTTTTACCTGGAAAAGAAAAAGAAAAGATGACTCAAAATGAAATCTCTGTGGGTAGGTTAGAAAATGTCTAAAAGCACCCCCAGGATCCCAGACTGCCTGCCCCTCAGTTTATGGACATCTGACGCATCTTCACTTGTCAGATGTTAAAAACCAGGATCTTATGTTGTTAAGGCTTCTTGGAACTTGTTTTCATCTTCCAGGCAGTGTTCCTGATTAAGAGATGCTGACTTCCTCTACAGATCCCAGACCAGTCACCAAATGATACCGTCTTTAGTAGCAGAGTGTGAAAAGCTCCCAGCAGTTGAGACCTTAGGCATAAACATGTGAATGCGAGTCATGTCATTTATTTGTGAATGTGAGCCATGGAAGTTTAGGACTTTCACCATGATGTGCTCGGGTATAGTAGATGTTCACTAAACATTTGCTGAGTTGGATTGGAAATGTAAAGCACTGTTATGCTTGGAAGATGAGGATTTGAGCCATCTGTGTCCTAACCAACAGTTGAAATAGGGCTCTGTTGTGTGTATGTACACGCACATATACAAACACCAGTTGTTCTAATCTTCCTTCTAAATCTAGTATGAGAAGATTTTTGAAAAACAGTTACAGGATGGGAATTTTCAGATTTCCCAAGCATGACACCTTTTATGATTTATTGTCTACAAACATTACAAATCAAACTCTGAAATTATAAATATATAATATATTATATATATATATATATATATATATATATATATATAATTTCCCACTAAAATATTAGTGGGGAATTTTTTTCAACATTACAGTGGAACACAGTGCAGGACGTAGGCAGGCTGTACTGGACAGTCCTTTATGCTTATTTCACAGTAAAGACAGTTTCTAGTAATTTCTTTCAGACACGGGGCCACATATATGTGTAGAATAGGGAATTCCAATGAAAATTCATCCAAAGTGCAGAATTCTATGGAGGATGAAGACTTGGCTTCATGAGGCAATTACACTTATAACAAATATTCCATGCAAAAGGTCCATCTTACAGCAGAGTGAATTGCTTTTTGGAGAAAATATAATTCAGGCCAGTTCTTCCCTATCCTCTTATAAAGATGGTGGTTCTGTTTTCTGATGGATATTTTACAGTGAGTAGGCACTAACTAAATATTTGTTGGGTGAGTATGTAAGTGAAAGAATGAGTGAGCCATAAGGGTGTTTTTAGTTCAGGTGGGTGTCAGAGCACAGTAACCCCAAGGAAATCAAGCAGGAAGGACCCAGTGCACAGGCAGCCAGGCACCATTACACTACAGACAGCAATGGGACTGCCTCTCCAGTCACTATGAATTTTAATGTGGGGAGCAGATGGTTGGTATAGATTGCCCTTGTTTTTGCCCAGGAGCCTGGCATCATTGCAAGTTGTCAACCTGTTTGGAGAATATAGTTTGAGCCTGTAAGGATGTCATAGGCCTCTGTTTTGCAAATAGATTATTTAACGATTCCCAATTAGGTAAATGTGAGACCCCATGATTTTAGGCAGTCACACATCATTTTTCTAGGGAAAAGCCAAGTCTAAAGACTCAGTGCCAAATCCCTCTGGCTGCCTAGCTATGTAACCATTTAGTTACTAAGCTGTGAATGTCAGTGACGCCTAGGGAAGGTGTATAGACATTTATGTGAAGCATTCCACCCCTCAGCAGCAGCAGTCCCATGTCCAAAGTGGCAGCAATTAGTCTTAACACCCCATCTCATGCCAACTCACCCAACCCCAACCAATCAGAAGCATCCCCCAAGCAGTATATAAGTATTTCCTTACAGTGTACTGAGCTGGGAGGCAGGTTGAAGAACAGTCCTGTGCTTCCACCTAGCTGGACAGGGTTGTAGTCTTCTCTCATGACAGATTCCTGAGGACAATTTAGGCATCTGTCCTGCTGGAGGAAACTTAGGAAGGGCTCACATTTCCTAGCAGGGTGAGGCCCTGGAATCAGGGGCCCACTAGGAAATGCTTGAGCATAGCCAGGCTCTGGGGAGCTGGGGCTTGCTAGGGGCGGGAAATGCCACAGATCCCTAGGCTGAGCAGGGGGGGTCTCTGCCAGGGCCAGTGGGTAGTGATCCATAGGCATGGGATCACACATGCTCAATCTGCTGGTGGTGGCAGGAGTTGCAAGGGATGCTTCTGGCCGTGGCTTTGTCCAGGGAGAAGAGAAACGCCAGTGATTCGGAGGCATGTCACTATCTGGGAAGGAAAGATTAAGAAGACACGTTAGGTGCTTGCTTATCATTTTGAAAATGGAAATAGCTCAGTTTTTTCTGGTTGGTGTATGCTATATTTTCTAATGTGAAAAAAGTTTACAAAGTTTAAAACCACAGTAATCACAGAATCAAGAAATAACCAATGTGGTCTTTTATTGTACTTCTTTATAGGATTTCTAATTATGTATACATTGTTATCACAATATACTGTTATTTGAGCTGTTTTTTCTTCACTAAAATGTGAATATCATCTCACAGCCAGTATCAGCTTCTTTGTAGGATTTTGTTTTATTTCTGCATGCATTATTTATGCACACATTATCAGCTTATATCTTGTTATAAGCTCATTTTTCTTCATTAAAATATCCATGGATATTTCCTTTCATGGTGATAAATAGAACCAAACATCAGCTGTTTAAATGGTTTTCCATATTCCATCAATGGACAGTCATGCAGCTTCCTGTTTGTGGGCAGCTTAGTTCTTTGCATTTTTTCAGTTATATTCACACCATAGCAGTCAGCTTCTTTGTATATACACTTTTGCCCCATTGTCAAATTAGCTCCTTTGGGAAACTTCTAAAAGTACTTGATTTGTGTTTGCTTGCTGCTATTGTTTAGTTCTAGGTTATCACTAGTGTTTTAAGACACTAAATAAGAGGACTTTCCAGAACTTTGTAGAGGGTTTAACACTTGCCTATAAGTCATTCACACAATTCCAGGGGTGACAAACTCCATTTCCAGAGGAATCTGGGTCATAGGGGTGTTAAGAGACTGGGCCAAGGTAGCAAAGCAGATTAGCCCAGTAGGGAACTGAACTGGGTAGGAAAGTAGTTGCTTGGCACTCACTCTGCAAAAGTACTGTGATTAGGGTCAACAGGTGACTCAGCAAGTTCTCACCAAGTCGCTGTGGACTGGCTAACAGGGATGAAGTGTCCTTTGGTGCCATAGACACTATTCTAATTATGCCTGTGGTGGTGGCTGAATTGGAGATCTCAAATGTCTAGGATAGCCTGTGACATGGATAGTCTCTCCATTCTCCACAGCCACTCAGGTGAGGGAAGAGGAGGACAGAGTTCTGCCAGATGGTGCTTAAAACCTGGAGCCTCTCATCTAGCCTAGATAATAGTGGAGGGGGCGTGGATGTGAAAAACAAAGAAAGTTGTCTGGCAGGAGAATCTGTTTAAGACACCCATCCCCTTTCCCTCCGAAAGCACCTCCTCCAGCTCTCCTGACTGGTCCATTTGACTGGATTTTACACAAGATAAAGACATCGGAGAGGTCATCACAGCCCTGCTGGTGTGCCCCTGCCCACCACCATAGCTCTCTGTGTAACACAGAAGATAAGAACAAAAGAAGCCTGAGCCCACATGGCTCAGCCCTCCTGCTCTTAACCTCACAGCATGCATTAGGAGCAGAGGGCAATGGCGGGGCCTCTTCTGATGAAACCAAGAGTGAGAGAGTATTAGGATGTGCTCTTCTGGGAAGATATTAGTTTTGGGGATTGACTGCCTTTGGGACAGTAGCAATTGTGGTGCCGTGTGGTACGAGTAGAGTGATTAAATTGATTTCACAGATTCACTGTCAGTGATTCATATTAAATGGAGGTATTGTATGTCCTAAACATAATTAGAAGCAAAGCATAGCCTCTGATAAGTTTCTTCCTACTGATCTCGTAAACATGACCAAAAGGTGCTTGCTGAAATGCTTCATGTCAAAAGTAGGGCTCCAGGGTATTGCGAATATTTCTGCTACTACCTGCTTCCCTTCCTTCAGCCTTTCTGTGGCTGAAATGCTAAGGGATGCAGGTGGAGTGCCACTGTTCATGGCCCGAGTGGTACTGGGTGCACCGGAGTACAGTCTGGATGGAAGCTTGAGGGGAAATACGGGGTGCCTGCCTGCCCCAATGGTTATGGGGGAATTGGGGAAACATGTTTTTCTAGACCAGGCTTGAGTGTTGGTGGCCCATGGAGTGGAGGCCCTATTTTCTTGGACTTCTTCGGCCAACTGTTCCAATAACCATGCCTGTCTACCCTGTGGACAGTGAAAGGTATGTTAAACCATGATCTGGGGGTGACACAATGTTACTGTTGCTGCTCTGGTGACATTCTTATTCAAATGTCAGAGAGAGAGAGAGAGAGAGAGAGAGAGAGAGAGAGAGAGAGAGTCTCAGGGATTAGTTTCCTACCATCTCAGACACCAAACTATATTAATGAATGGAGAGCAAGTAAGGAACACGTTGATTCAGATACACTTACGATAGGCTGGGATTTTTCTTTTAGTAGGAACACAGGATGACTTTTACTCAAATACTCCAACCGTAGATATCTAGATCCTACTCTTAGCTATACCCATTCCCCTAGAATGTCTGAAGCTCTTTGTCCCTGTCTAAATAGTGCTGTCTCCCTTTGCCACTCTGCCCCTTCGGATAAAACTAGTGGATTCTCCCTGCCTTCCAAGCACACCCAGAGACACTACCCATTACCACCCATATATACTTCTGGCAGGCTCAGAACATTATAGAAAGAATTTCTGTCACCGAAGAGTGTGACATCATCCCAGAACAACATCCATCCATTCTGCATGGTGACCCTAATTCCCTACCCCATTGTAGTTTCTGTATGCCCAAACATAAATATCACTCTCTGAGAAAGACTTTCTTTGAATTTCCAGTTGAAAGTTGTTTATCTTATTGCTTTCTGTGATGACACCTTGTGTATTTTCTTCATAGCAGTAATCCACTATTTGTGTATTCATTTGTTCATTAATTCATTCACTATTGGGCTTCCCCACCAGCCAGTAAGGGCTGAGATCATTTCTCTTCTATTCACCACCATATCAGCAGCCATTTGTACACTGCCCAGAACATAACAGGTTCTGACTAAATATTATTCCAATGCATAAACACATAATACATGCAGCCACACACATGTGTACATAATTACATACAAACATATATATACACATAGCTGCAAACGTGTGTATGCTCACACTCATAAACACATATGCACATGCATACAAACACACACACACACACACGCACACACACGCATGTGTGCCTTCCTATTTAACCCATTTAAATTGAGAAAAACACCATGCAAAATGGTTAAGAGTACAGACTTTGAAATCAAAAGACTCAAGAGTCCAGTCTCAGATCCTCCATTTTCTAGCTGTGTGACGCTGAGCAAATCCACTAACACCTCTGACCCTCTTGGGACTGTTGTGAGATTGGATGAGACCGTCTGTGCTAAGGGATTAGCATAGTGCCTGGTATATGACAGCCACTCAGCAAATGATAGCTGTTCTGTTGTTATTATTAACCATTTCAGTTTATGAATCCAGTGTGGGTATTTTTTTTGATTTGCAGTACTCTGCATGTACAACCCAGGAAATCTTAAAGTGGCAGTTAATAGATGAGGCCCAAGAATTATTCATGCCACAAGTCACCTGGAGCCAGGGAGAGGAGGAACAAAAAGGAGAGGGCTGAGAAGCCTACAACAGCAGCAGATGCTACGGCACTTCAGGGCTGGTGCGGAGCGTGCAACAGGCATTGGCTACAAAAGAGAAATGTCAGAAGCGTGTATTCAGTCTGTTCCAATCCTAGGGAATAAGACATCAGGAATAGACAGGAACAATTTGCAAATATAGAACACGTTTTGTGTACTGAGTATTTACTCTAAGCCAGGCATTTTGCTTATACTGTACTCTGCAGACACGTGTCAGTTAATCTTAATTGTCAACTTGATTGGATTAAGAGACTCCTGGAAAGGTGATTAGATCATGGACACATATAATCATTAATGGATTAGTCTACCGATGTTCACAGCTGAACATGCACTTAGGAAGTGGGGCTCAGCTGGAGGAGGTGTGTGAGTGGACTGCACCCCTCTCCCGTGCTCCTTCCTTCTGCTTTGATTTCTGGCTGCCATGAAATGAGCAGCTTAGCTCCACTATGCCGTGTGCCATGATGTCCCTGCCTTGGAGCCAGCTGACCATGGACTGAAATCCCTCAACCTGAGAGCCAAAACAAACCTACCCTGCCTTAAATTGTGGGTGCCAGGTATTTTGATCACAGCATTAGGAAAGCTGGCCAAAAAATATGAGTTCTTTTGATCCTCCAAGCAAGCCCTAAGAAAATAGAGACTCAGAGTGGTTCAAATAATTTGCCTAATGCTGTCCAGTAAGTGGTAGTGTTGTCTGATTCCAGATTTCCTGCTCTTACTGGCTGTGCTTCCCTATTATTATAAAGAATTCAGATAAGTAGGTAGCTGGGCACTTTTGCACACCACTGTGGCTGGAGAGGTGGCAGGTGAACATATAACATTTGGGGGAATAATTTGCAGTATGTATCAAAGCTATGGAGGGGCAAACACTGTAGCCACCCCTTACTAGTTGTGGTGTCTCAGACAAGTCTCTTGACTCTGTGCCTCAGTTTCATCCAGAAACATGAGCACAGGTTGGTGTGAAAATTCAGTGAGATAATTCATGTGAGAGCTTCTAGCAGAGAGACTGACACACAGGAGGGACACAGCAAACACCGACCACTATAAACATCGCTAGTTCTAGTCCTTATTTGTATTAATCTTCTTGGTGGATGCTACCAAGGTCTACAAAGGCAGGACAGACTGGCACTGGAGTCTGACAGACTTGGGTTTCAATCTCTGTCACATACTGTGTAACTCATCTCTGATCACTGACCCTTATGCGCTTGCAATTTCTCCCCCATAAACAGGGTGGCAATACCCAGTGCAAGCTGGTTTGGTGAAGTACAACCAACCCATGAAAAATGCACAGATCTAAGCATGCAGATGAGGGAATTCTTACAAACTGAGCAACGAGCACCAGACCAAGTAATAGAACATGGCTGCCACCTTGAAAGAACCTTTGGGTGCCTTCTCAGCCACTAATCTCCCCAAAGGTAACCTGTCTTCTAGCACTGTAGATTTAATTTGCTTGTCTGAACTCTGTAAATCCTAGGAGGCTTTGAGGACTGAAGTGAATTCAATCATTTTAATGCACTGGCTGGTAGGCTCAGAGTTGTCAGGACTCTCTAAGGCTCCACACAACAAGCATGACAAAAAGACACAGAGATTCACCGAAAAGAGAAACCCAGCACTTCTTCCTCGCCCCTGCAATTTGTGGTGGATCAGGGACAGAGAGAAGCAGGTGGGACTCCGAGACTGGAACAGGAAGACTTCTGCTCAGGCGCTCGGGTACACAGCCTTTCTCAGCAACTGTTGAGCAGCATGTTATGAGGCCTGAGCCTGCACACAGACTAGGCCTGGAGGTGGGGCAGGCAGAATCCGGGCTGAGGTATAAATGGGCACCCCACCCTGAAACTGCAGGTATTGAAGCTTCCTTTGTTACTGATTCTGAAATCCTCAAAGTCTTTTGAAAGGGGGCAATGACTTGAAGGTACTTTCAGTTTGTGTTTTGTTTCCTGAAGTACAGCCAGTGTAAATTATACATAAAGTAAATAAAAATAACTTTGATTTAGGGGGGAAAAAGCCAGGAAAGTCAATGGCATTTCCTAGCCACACAGCACTCTGTGTTTAGGCTTTACATACTTAGTTTAACAGAGTACCTCTTAGAATGTGGACAAGCCTTTGATGACAGCAGGTGAATAGGGGCCTGTTTTCCTCAGCCCACCTCAGCCAAGCATAGGTGGCCCGGTGCTGGCCTATAGGAGTTAAAAGGATGCTAACTAACAGTAATGAAAGGCCACTTTATAGATGTCCCACCATTTTCCAAGCTGCATGTACGTCACATAACACCTCCTGTGAGAACCTTGGAGGGACTGAACTCCTTTCATGGAGGCCTCCCCAGAGGCAGCACAGTTCAGGAGAAACTTGACTCCTCACTGTGATAAGAGAGGCCTCGAGGGATACTGTTTTCTCTGCAGTTGCTCAATCAGCAGACAAATATTTGCCTAGCCTGCACCATGTTATGTGAGGGAGACATCTTCACAGGGAAGATATTTATGGGAAAATGTAAAAGCCAAGAAGATAAGTGAATAAGAAAGCAGCCCCTCTACTTAACTTACAAAGGCTGACTCAGGCAACGTCCTTAGCAGGCGGGTGGCTTCACAAAGTGATACAGAGGAAAGCCAGAAGGCACAAAAAATACGATAGCAACCACACAAGAGCCACTGAAAACGTGGAGATTTGTGGGAGAGGCCTCTGCTCTGTGATCATTTTGAATGCAGGCCATCATATCCATCTTAGTCATTTAAAAACGTGTCTGCCTCGAGTACCACTTCCACAGAAGTAACCAGCACCTAGCTAACACCTATTACTTGCCACTTGACAGAGATTATCACACTGACTCCTCCAAGAGTCCCCCCTGTAATTATCATATTCAAATTTAGTGGTGAGGAAGCGGAGGTCCAGGCAGACTGTGATATGCCTTGAAATCATACCATTGGGAAGTGGTGAAGCTGGTCCAGCATCAGGCTTCCATGTTCTTAAGCTAAGTGACCTCATGTTGCAGTTTGTAATTGACCTGTCCCTTGTGAATCTCATGTGCAAATGTTTTCCCTATGATATTATGAGGGTGGAAACTTAATGATAAGGCCACCAAGGTGGGACCCCATGATTAAGTCACTGATGACTTTAGGAGAACAGAGAGAAAGACTAGTGAATACACACATGCTCCTAGCATCTTGTCACATGATATCCTGCCCTGCTAGGGAATCTATCAGCAAGAAGGCCATCAGCAGATGGAGCCCTCAACCTTAGGCCAGAGCTGTGAGCCAAGTTAAATCTCTTTTCTTTATAATTCTCTCATTCTGTGGCATTTTTATTAGTAATAGAAAACAGACTAATACACCACATCTGCAGGGTCAGTCCCCTGTGATCCAAATCATAGTTTCATTCATTTAAGAAATATATACCAAGGGCCTTCCATGAGTCAGGCACTGGGTTTGGTGCTTAGATAGCAGCAATTAACAGACTAATTCGCTGCTGCTATGCAATTCAGAGTCGAAGTAGGGTAAAGAGGAGTCAAGGACAAAACACATATATGTAAACTTTGGTTGGTGGTGACAAATGCTAAGAAAAAATAAAATAGGCTAAAAAGACAGAGTGACACCTTGGGGACTTCTAGACAACTAGAGACCACAGTAATTCTCGCTCTTGCTCAGATCATTGAACACATTCCTGAACATCACCTTCCCACCCTCTACACACACCCTTTGGCCATTTTAACAACAAGTTCCACACCATTTCCTCTAGAGTCTACCACCATGTGTCCTTCCATGGGCTTGCTTAAATCGAGAGATTCTTCAAGAAAACCTCCTCATTTGGCTATAAGAGTAATAGTGCTCATTCAGACTCAAAGAGCAAAGCACAAACCATGGCAAATGGGAAAATCAAGCTTTTCAGTCACAGGCTGAGGCCCTGCTGGAGGATTCTGACATGTAGGCTTGACACCAGCAATAAAGGGCTCTTAAATCCAACCAGACCTTGATTTATTTGCACATTTCAAAAAAGCTAGCAAGGTGTCATACGGATTCACATTTACTGCAGGGGCGAGTCCACTAGGCACAGTGTCTAGGACTCCTGAAGGCCCATGAAAACATTGTCACTTATTTTAAAATCAAAATAAAACTATGAGTATGATAATGCTACTGCATGCATTAATGAATTCAGCCTGTATTTAATTCATCATTATATCAATGCTGCAATCAAATGTAACTTCTAATATCTTTATAGAGGAAGGGAGCCCATGAATGCAAAAGCATCTAAGTCCATGAAAGTTGAACTGTGGCCTCTGCCAGCTTAATATGTATGTCCTCCCCCAAACCTGGATGCACACATTATGACATAGCTCTCTTGAGCAATAGACACCCCTGACCCTGTGAAGAGTAGGACAGTGATATGCTAAGAATCTTCATCTGCCTCCTCCTGGCCCCTCACCGCCCTCACCAGATCATCTACTATTGGTTGAGAGGAGACTGGGAGCCCCAACACGAGACGTGCTTTATCTTATCGTAGATCATTTAGTGTTCCTGCTCTCAGGCTAAAAGTTAATAATAATAGGACTGACAACAGTGACACTAGTGAACAGTTGTTGAGCTCTTACTGTGTTGACAAGCGAACCCAGTGTTTAACATAATTGAGACAGTAATGAAACGGATAAACTATTTGCTGGAAGTATGCATTTTTACATTAACAACTAAGAAGGCATGTGGCTTCTCACTAGGCAGTGTGACTTGCCTTTAGTACATATGCACAAGTCAGAGTGCATCGAGTACCTCAAAAAACTGAACTTTCAGCAAAAGCCTTGCTAGCGAATTCCAGCCTCGTCTTTCCCAACATGCTCACCATTCTTCAGGATCACTTCGTCACTGTGGCTCAAGGGGCTCAATTCCTGGGGCCTCTTAATATTGCTCAGAGCTCTGGAGAAGTGCTCATCCACTTCACTGCTGATATCCCCCTGGAAATAGGTGAACAGGACGCTTCGGGAATTCCACTCAGTCTTTATAGGCTTCTGCCTACTTGTGGGCAGTTGGGTATCACTGTTCTTCATCTCTTCCATTGTGAGACAATGACACAGGCGAGAGCTGTAAGCCAAAAGGAAAACATCATTTTACAAAGGGTCTTGGCTCTAATTTGGATGAGTGGTACTTTTTTATGCTGTGCAAACATTGGTTAAAATTGATGACATATTTAATCTTCTCACCCACAAGTATTCAGCCAGCTGCCTGCAATCAAAACACTTTTAGCCGTATTTCCAGATTTCAACTTAAATGGTACTTGGGGAACACAGAGTATCAGATCTTTTATCATTACAAAGTAATCAGTGAGATATAAGCAGCATTCTTCAGAGTAAACAGTTTGCTTCTACCCAGTATAAGTTCTTACTGAAGCCCCAGGGAGCCACTAGGTTCCTGAAGGTCAACAACTCTAGGATGGGCTGCAGGCCAGTTGAGGAGCCCAGTCTAATCAGTGTTCAGTGAACAACATGACAAAGCCGTAGGAAGTGCTGAAAGTGGCCTTCACTTACAAATAAGAATTATCAGGCCACATGACTAGAAAAGCAAAAGGAGAGGGGGTGTGATAGGACACTGAGGCCAAACGGGATTGCAGCTCACCTTCTGGAGAAGTGCCTCCTGCCCAAACGAGTGAACCAAGCTCAGCCCAGAACTCCTGTGGGAACAGGCTCCCTGGAGAGCTGGACTAGGCAGGCCAGTGGGAGCCTGACAATTTCAAATTGCATGGTAAGTTTGGCTTTCCATCTTGAACACTTCCACGCACAAGAATAAAGCATGTCCGATTTTCCCACTCCTCCTGAGGCCCCAGTCTGTGTCAGGTGCTATCTTAGAAATTAGCCGTTGCAAACAACATCAGCTTTAAGACCTCCAGACAGACATGTTCTGAGCCAAATACAGATCTCCTGAAAACAATTTTTATGATCATATATCATAGAGATGGTAGTAGAAGGCTCCTGAAAGATTACCAGGTTGTCATTCTCTTCACCACCATGTCCTCTGTATCTAGAACAGTGCCCAGAATTGAGCTGATGCTCAAAGACCTGTTTGACAAATTGCGTTATAGCTGGATTCCATCAGTAGCACCAGCATTTCCTCCCTTGTGAGTTCTTTGAGGTCACTGGTGCTCTGTTTGCATCCAGCCCAAGACCTGGCACACCTTACCTGTTTAGAGGCTTCTTTACTTTTGGTCACCTAATCTGACTTATCATGTGCTCTGGCCATGGTGCCTTTAATCTCTTCATTCTTGGAAGATAATGAAAATGGCTAGAGTTGAATAAATTGTTTCCCTCACTGGCCTATGAGATATCTGAGACCAGGCGTATTTTTTTTATGTCTTTATCCCAGAATCTAGCACAAAGTAGTTGATGGTTCTACCAGGGTAACAGGTTAGGATGGAGACAATCTGGCTGTGAGCAGAGCACCCTTTCCAGAATGTCTTCCTTTCAGAATCATCCTAGCCCAGTCATAATAGGATTACGTTATTTAGAGAAGCCTTTGATTCAACACCATAATTTTGTTTCTCCTGGTTGAGTCAACCTAAATGTAACCAGGCATTACATAAAAGTAAATCCATTTTGTGTCTTTATTTTGAAAAACACAGCATGGCCACTTCAAAAAATTGGTAGTTTCTTAAAGTTAAAACATTTTTTTACCATGTGACCCCCAAACCTTACTTGTAGGCATGTATTATCAAGAGAACAAAAGCTATACCCACATAGATTTAGACATGAGCAATCATAGCAGCTTTAAACAGGCAAAAGAAGAAGTTATCCAATTATCTATTACGAGGACAATAAACTAGCTGTGACTGACACATTCATACAAAGGAATGTTCCAATGCAACAAAAAGGAACAAACTACCAATCTACAGAAGAGAAGACTGAACCTAAAAACAGTGTATCGAGTGCCAGAGGCCCAACACAAAAGGCCACATACAGATGAGCCGACTTGCATAAATGGATCAAGTCCAAATAGTGTACAGTCACAATAGTGGTCGCCTGTGGGCTAGGGACTAAAAAGGAGCATGAGGGAGCCCCCATGGTGGTTGTTAGCCAAGGACACCAGGGACATGCTTGGTTTCTCATCAGCATGGTCCCGCATCTTGATGAGGCTGGCGATTATTATGTGCATGAACATATTTGTCAAAACTCATCAAATTGACCACTGTGCATTGCACTGTAGGCACTGTAGGCAGAGTATCCCTCAATAAAAAGCACAAGATCCATGGAGATACTTGGAGTTGTTGAAACAAAGCAAAGGTATTGTGAATTGTAAAGTAATGAGATTTGGGGGTTGTGGCAACAAAGCAAAGGTGCTGTGAATTGTAAAGTAAGAGATTTGGAGACTATCTATTCTGTGCCAGAAGCTATACATGTATCTCCTCTAAATCTTTATAACCCTCAAAGTCGGTATTATTGTCACCATTTTACAGATAGGCAAACTGGAGCTTAGAGAAGGTGAAATAAACTACACACCCCACATGGTTAGGTAGTAGCAAAGCTGAGCTCTGAACCTGAGTCTCACTGGCTTTACATCTGCCTGCTTTTTCCATCATTTACATAACCCCACTCTGTAGATTCATTCTCCCAGTCTTCCAAGCATGGCGGTGGGGTTGGCCTCTATTACCTAAGGGGCTGCGAGCCAGGACACTCAGGCAGTGGTATGATTTCCTTCAGGGGAAGCAGGCATAACCTCAGTTCACTACCCCTAGGTCTTCTCCTTGAAGCCACCACCTGCTGCTGCAAGGGCCGGATAGCACCTTTGCAAGACTGGCCCTCTTTAATGTGCAGAATTGCCAGCAGCCAGTGCTCTAGGCTCAGGCTTGACACAGCTTGCAATCTACCTTTGTGAACTGGCCCTAAAGCCACATGGAAAGAGGTGACCGGATTCTTGGGAGATCAGGGCCAGAAGCATGTTCCTGGTCTCCTAGGGTAACATCTACGGAGACCAGAGGCCAGCAGAGAAAAGTCAGAGAGAAAATCAAGGGCGGCATTTCATCCCGATCACCTGTGGGCAAGTGGGAGCACTGAATTAAACCACAACTACTGTTATCTCTACCTCTCTTTTCTTCTCCAAACACACAGACTCATTAAGAAAGGGGAGGGCTATTTCACTAGATTCAACTCACAAGCAAGTCCTTGGGCTACACTCAGACCCCCAGGAGAGAGAAACTGTATTTGAGGGATATTACAATCCTGAGTATTATGCTGGCTATGGCGGCACATACCTGTAGTCTCAGGAGGCTGAGGCAGGAGGATTGCTTAACCAAGGAGTTCAAGGCCAGCCTGGGCAAGAATAATGAGACTCTGTTTCAACAAAGAAAGAAAGAAAAAAAAATTAGAAACAAAATCCTGAGAATCGCCATTTGACTTAATACTGTGAAGAACTACATCTTATGGCACTTCTGGAAAAATCTGAGCGGCTTCATCTCATGGGATCTCCTTGTAAATGGTCTCAATTCATGTGTCTGTTTGAGTGGGTCTGGCTAACGAGAGAGGGATGCCACAAAAGTACATTTAAGCTACAAAAAGAAAGACATAACAGTCCAAATGGACCTCGGAATACCATTCAAACTTCTGCAAAAATCTTTGAACGCAGAATCTAAAACCAGCTGTTTGGCCTCAACTCTACCACACAGACAGCACATGGAAAATTTGATCACACTTCTGCAAAATGGCACCTAGCACTGCGGGGTAGAGTAGGGCATCACAGGGATTAGTTGTCACAATGATCACTTGGAACCAGAGACCCAGTTGGATCTTAATAAGCACAGCATTAGATGACCTCCAGTTCCTTCCCCATTGAATTTCCACCCATGTCCCCCCATCCCTGAAGTCCTCGGCTTCTCTTACCTTAATCCTGGACCATCACCTGAGACAGAGCCAGACTTGATGGCTGGGCCGAGGTGAGTGTTGAAGGCCAGAGCTGCCTGGCCTGCTTTAGAGCAGCTCAGTGCTTGCGGAAGCAGGAGGCAGGGATTTGTACCCTCCCTTTGCTGCTTTCTAGCCCTCTAGCTGAGGCTGTACAAGGCGTTTCCTGCTAGCTATCTATTAAGAATGCAGAAAATGCACTCCAACAAGTCAATCTGGTCGGGCACCTGCAAGAATGAGGAAAATGGATAGCTCCTTTTTAAGCATTTCTTTCTTTTTGCATTAAAACTCATTTTGTGATATTGTCTCTTCAACAGTTGTTAGCCCTAAACCATACACAAGGTCACTAACATCTAAAACATCAGTTGTGGGATTTAGATCAAACTGATGTCATGTTCCGTCTCAGGAACTGACAGTCAGCTTGGGTTTCCAGACCCCTTAGAATACTAGATTTGTCACAGGCTACTATAGGCCACAGAGGTAGTTACGACTTCTGTGATTCTTCACTGAGGGTAGCAGTTTTGGGGAACTAGTCCAGCAAGAGGCTTGCAAAGGTCTCAAGGTTAAAAGATCTGAGAAACCTTTAATATTGCCCCATTAAATGGCACTATCATTCAGGGTCCAACCCCTGGGGACATCCTTTGCTCTTTTCCTGCTTCAACAACCTTAATTCAACACGTATTTATTGAACATGTACTATGTGCCAGGAACTATTTTGGAAGTTCTGTTCTCTAGTATACAATTCAGACCAAATTTGCCTCCAGGTAATAACTGCACACCTGTATGCTTGTGTGTACCTATAATATATGTATAATGTCAGTGATTTGCACTGTGAAGAGAAATTGGAAAGGGCCATCAGGAGTCCTGGGGCAGGGACTCTCCAAAAAGGTGACATTTGAGCCGAGCCCCGAGGGAAGAAGCCCTGTGGACACTTGCTTTTTCTGATCCCCAAGGTGAGATCACTGTTAGCCTGTTCACAGAACAGCCAGGAGGCCGACTTGGCTGGAGAGGGAGAGTGAGGAGAGAAGGAGGGCTCAGATCCCAGAAGACCTTGTCTGCCATGCTTCCACTTCTCCTCCACTTGAAAAAGACTTAGCAGAGGGCTTGGAGGAACATATCACCAAGTTCTTCAAGCTCTGCCTTCCCAACACTTCCCAATCGGTCCTTCCTCACCACCTCTGCAGTGCTCACCCTG